TATCAACCAGTCCACTCCTCAAGTCATTGAGGATAGAAATGCAACACTGTATTGATCTCAGTGATCCTTCTTTATCCAAGTATCTTAAATTTGCTGTTGCTCCAGTTCACACAGCTAGTCTTCCTTACCAGTTCTCTATAATTGAAGGAGGGGAGTTTCCAGCATACCAGAGATATGGATGGATTGAACGAAGCAAGTTCTGTCAATTAGCTATTGTTGGGGAGGAAGAAGAGGAAAATGGAGGAGGTAGGAATGAGGAGAGGAATGGAGAGGAAGATGGAGACTCAGGAGATGAGGGAGGGAAAGATAAGGGACAGACAACAGGAGGAGAGGGACAAGGAGCAGGAGGACAAGAAGGAGGAGCAGGTAGAGAAGTAGCTGGAGGGAATGAAGAAGAGAAAGATGATGAGAATGATGCAATTGCTTTAGAGTCATGTGATCAACCAAACACTTTATCAACACTTAGTAAGTAGCTTTATTTTATAGTTTTGTACTTTTCAATAATTCATCATTATACAGTTGTATCTACTCATTCCACTGGTATACCTGAAGCTACAGTTTATGCTGGACAAGTGTTTTATGAACGACCAGATAAAATGAGATTTGCAGCTACAAAAGATTTGAATGCTTTAATTGAGGTATTTTTAATTTATTTTTTTCGTTATTAATAAAAAATTTTGTACAGTTCATTAAAAAAGAGTATCGCCAACCAGAAATGGGTCAAGCTTTTATATTTCAATTTGATCCTACTTTTGGATGTGTTGAGCTAGTTTTTGGTCCTCAGGATGGACCAATAACTGGTTGGACTGTTAGTCCTGATATACTACCATGTCAGGTACATTTCTTTATAATAGTAATGCTGGTATTTATATGTGTATATGCTTTAATAGATTGAAGAAGGAGATTTAGATCATTTTGGTCATAACAGTACTACAATTCGTTTAGTATCAATATATGCTGACAACAGTCCTGATACTGTTCATGTACTGAAGTATGCCATACCATTAAAAGGATTGCGTAAACCAAGAACAATCAACATTAACAGATCACTGAAAGATATATTAGGTATGATAGTGCTGCATAATGTTCAGTATCTATTAATTTTATTTCTTCTTAAATAGATCCTGTTTACATCAGTAGATCACCTCTTTCTCCTCCTTCTTTGAACAGTTAGTTGATACTACTAAAAAACTAAATACAGCCTAACATTATTATTATTTATAGTAATCAACCCTACTATCTCTACTGCTAGTACCAGTCAAACCAGGAGAGGGACTGAAGAAGGTATCACTGAATTTATATGCATGTAATGTGTATGTGTGCATGTATAGGCAGTACATATAGATCGGATATTGCTGATAGAGTAATGACTGAATGTACTTCATCAATAAAGGACTGTGGGATTGATATCAACTTCTTAATTGACAAGTTACTGGAACACAGGATCGTAAATTCAAGAGAGAAAAGGAAAATAACTGCTAGAGAAACTGACGATGACAAAATGGATGAATTGCTTCACATAATTTTGAGTTCTATTCGTATGAATGGAAAAGTGTTTGGTATATTCATAGATATACTGAGAGAGGAAGACACTTTGAGAACTATTGCACTAGCTGACACACTAATTGACAAATATAAGGAATAAAACCAAATAATAGGCATTTTTGTGCCTTTAATGCTATTTT